TTATTCATGTAAATCTTCATTGGGCATATGTTTTTGTTTGATTCGTAAGAAACCATATATTTTAATTATATTTCAGTTTTCTTCTTTAACATTTATTGACATTAATAATTTGTATATTTACGCAAAAATAAAAAAATAAAGCTACTTTTAAGGATTTTATCGCGTTTAATTTAACTTGCACTTAACAGAACCCACGGTCACTAAAAAAAAAAACCAAAAATAAAAATTTAAAGTGGAAAATGGAGAACGTAAAATTTTTTTGTGCTTGTAATCTGCAATGCGCTGGTATCCGTTTATATCATCGTCTACAGACGTGCCCTCAAATGTAGACCACAACGCTTACGGAGACGCTTAGACAGTGTTCGACGCATCCCAGCTAGATGGAGCGACAGTACATCGATATACGTAAAGCTGAAGATATCGCTCAGTGGCCCACTATGAGAGAGGACTGTGGCCATCAGTACGCTGCTATGGACTAAAGTGACGACAATAGTTTTTTTTTTCATGTTGCAGCCATAATACGCTGCAGCTTGGCCCGTAGCACAATTTAAAATTCCATTCGAATTTGCGTGGTTCATTTATCCTTTAAGCAGATTATTTTATGTTTTATAACTACTTTAACAAATCATGGAATCACATTCATTTATTTTTTACCAAGCTGAAGACTGAATGTAGTAGCATCGTTTCCGGGACACCCGAGATTTTGAGTGAGATTGAGAGGTTCTATGGGCAGCTGTACACATCATCGTTGGAGCCACACGCAAGTGTGAGTAACGATCCAGGAGCAAGTCTTATCCAACACTATTCCGATGATATCCCGGAAGTCAGTCTGAGCGAGATTAGAGACGATGATGGAATTACAGCGGAGCTTCTGAAAGCGGGTGGAACACCAGTACTTGAAGTCCTTCAGAAGCTCTTCAATTCCGTCCTCCATGGTGGCACTACTCCAGAGGCGGGGAGCAGAAGTGCGGTGGTCTTGTTCCTTAAGAAAGGTGACAACGCTTTCTTGAGGAACTACAGACCGATTTCCCTTCTGAGCCGCGTCTACGTGCTGAGTCATTACGAATCGTCTCGCACGCAGACTCGACGACTTCCAGCCTCGCGACAAGCCGGTTTAAAAGGCTTGAACCTGAACCAAAAAAACCCCTAATAAGAGAAAAAAATTAGAAATTTAGGCGGTGCTACAGTCCCTTCAGCGGTGCCAAGTTGGCTGTCGGTATATCGAAATGCTGAAGTGTTTGTACAGTAGGACTACGATGGCTACCCAAGTACAGAACCAGAGTTCGAAACCTATCCAACTGCAGAGAGGTGTAAGACAGGGTGACGTTATATCCCCGAAACTCTTCACCGCTGCGTTGGAAGACGTTTTGAAGCTACTGGACTGGAAAGGATAACATCAATGGCGAGTACATCACTCACCTTCGATTTGCCGACGATATAGTCCTTATGGGAGAATCGCTGGAAGACCTTAGCACTATGCTCAACCTTAATGGTGTCTCCTAACAGATAGGTCTTAAGATGAACATGGACAAAACAAGGATCATGTTTAATGTCCATGTCACACCTATGCCGGTAGTTGTTGGGAGCACTATGCTCGAAGTTGTTGACGAGTACGTTTACCTGGGACAAATAGTCCGACTAGGTAAGTCCAACTTCGACCCAGAGGTCAATCGACAGATTCAACTCGGCTGGGCAGCGTTCGGGAAATTACAACACATCTTCTCGTCAGGTATACCTCAATCTCTGTAAAGTGTACAACCAGTGGGTGTTGCCAGTGATGACTTAAGGATCTGATACGAGGTCCTTCACTGCTGGCCGTATGAGAATGCTCAAGATCGCTCAGCGAGCTATGGAGAAGGCTATGCTCGGAGTTTCTCTGCGTGATAGACTCAGAAATGAGGATATCCGCAGTAAAACCAGAGTGATCGACATAGCCCAACGGATTAGTTAGCTGAAGTGGAAATGGACCGGCCATATAGCTTGAAGAACCAATAATTGATGCGGAAGAAAGGTTCTCGAGTGACAGCCTCGTACCGGTAGGCGTAGTGTAGGGCGACCCCCCACTCCATGGAGTGACGACCTGGTAAGACATGCAGGAAGTCGATGGATGCAGGTGGCTCAGGACCGTGCTTTGTTGCATTACTTGGGGGAGGCCTATGTTCAGCAGTGGACTTGTGAAGGGTTGTAATGATGATGATGATGATTTTTACCAGCTTTTAGAGAATATAGTGGCCAATTATTTGTTTCGTAAATTTCAAGCGCATTGTCTTTGAATTAAGTCAATTTATTTAATTGATCTGAAATTTTATGGTACATCTTTATTTTTAATACGATATTTTTAGTTTGTGATATTTACTATGGTCGTTTAGTTACATTGTGATAAAATAAGAGAGTTATCCTGAATTGTCACCACTTCATGAAAAACTTGTTTTTTATAATATTACTTTTTGTAATATTTTTTCTTCTGCAAGGTGTAAATAGTCCACCACTGGACATGGTCTCTTCCATAATGAGTAAGTAGGCTTTACTGAAATCACTGCTCGTGGCAAGCTGCTTTGCCATACCTAGAACAAGGCATGTCTTCTTTCTTCTTCCAGACCGGTACATGGAGCAGCATCATTGATAAATCATTTTTAAATGAATAATTTTTAAAATCTCCCAAAAATCTCACATAAACATTGTTGGATTTGGTGTTTGTTAAAAAGTGTCAAAAAAAACAAATATAATAGTAGTGTTGTTACATGAAATATAAATCATTTTTGTAGATTTAAACATTACGCAAATTGGTTGGAACAGCTTTCGATTCAATCCCACTTATGCCCGTAAATTGTCAGTATAATAAAAGCTTTAGAAACACATATTTCTCAATGAAAGGTATATTATCTCGCATAAAAATTCTTTCTTTAATTTTTAACGTTGGTTATTAAATTAAATCATAATTTACACGATTCCAGTCAAATCGGACTACGAAGTCATGAAATAGCAATAAAAATTATAAGGCTCCGTTCTGCTTTTCCACGCTGTACACTTTTTTCTTTTCAGTTTTCTTGTCCAGGGACACAAAATTTTACGAAAATCATTGTAGCCGTTTCCGAGATTCCGATTATATATATATATAGTATTATTATATAAGTAAAAGTAGTAGTAATATTATACATATAAATATTTTTACTTTTAGTACCAGAGGCAAGTGTGACATAAATTAATTAAAACTATAATCGATATTAAAATAATTCTACTCTGTAAGGATTTAACATAGATAATTCAGTTTCATGACATCAGTTATTAAATAGTTGTTTGATTGATCAAGCATTTTAGTATCTACAAGTAGCATTTTGTAATTTGAGGTAATTAAAACTAATTGAGGTGGAAGACTGTCACACTTACCCATCAATGAGGCAAGTGTGACAGTACGTCTCTTTTTGTAGTTACTTTATTATTATCTGTGGTTTTCGACAAAATAGATGGGATGATACTAACTTCGATATATTTTATGATCTATGAAAACGATTTGAATGTCCATTTTTGTGTAACAATGACTTTTTTACAACATGGGGCAAGTGTGTGTTTCTGAATTTAAAAGAATGGGTGAGTGTGCGATTCGGTCTGCCCCGATTGATCAATTTCCCATTTGGTGAACTATTAGTACAGTTTTTGTAACGTAGTACAGAATCGATTTAAATGAAAGTTTAGTCAGGTATTTAATTATAGAATTAAACATTTAATGACATTCGTATGAATACGATATCATCATATTTCTCGAGATATGCTACATGGAAAATTTCCGACCATTAACCGACCGTAGACCCATTACCAATAACTTCCAAATAGCAAGTTACATAGTATATTATTTGTCACTATATGTTCTTCTTTTTTGTATCGGATATTACCATTATATATAACTTTTAATGAGCAGTTTCGAAACTTTAGTATTCTTGTTCACAAGTAGAAATCGATTAACATCTTGAATAGACTTGGCGGCGGAATAAATATTTCATAAGACTTTGTGATTGGTTATCACTAGTGTTTATAAGCTTCATAAAAATCGGTATGGGTTTTTGACTATAATTGCAATTTAAAACATTATATTCTATTACTTTTAAGTAATATATTAATTACCTCGTGTGAATAATACTTCATAATAATTTTTTCATGTGCTTTATTTAAAACTGACAATTCAGATGATAAACGTGCCGCGTTGATAAAAGCCTATTTATGAATTGACAATTATAGTGATTTGAAATTTGTACACACTTAGATCACTTTAAATTAAAATAGCTGAATATACTAAAATAATATTTAAAGATATTATGAACACCGACTCCAAAATTTATACCTCTTCAAAGAAGAAATATTGAGATCATCGATTTTGTAAATTCAACACGTCTGTAAACTTCTGAAGAGTTTTACATGTAAATAAATTCTCTTTTTTTTTTATTTTAGCATTTATTTTTCCTGTCAGCTTATAAATATATCAAATCAACAAAACTACATTTAAAATGTGTAAGTAAAAGAAATGATTAAAAAAAGCAAGCAATCAAATAATAGTAAAATCTGACCTTAGACATATCTAGCCATTATTTCGCAGTACATTTTAATAGATTACACACGCGATTCCCAGCAAAAGATGTATTCATTTTGCTTCTGAAAGAAGAAACGCAAACAATACTTTATTTTTATAATCAAGTATTTTTATAATATCTGGGTAATGAAAATAGTGTTTCCATACGTAAATGTAATATCTGTATTGTATAAATAACACTTCATGCGCCTCACGACTATGGGCCCAGCTCTGTCAAGCACGAAGAAAATGTGTATAACTGAACAGAACTGCCACCGGAGATCGAACTTCCTTGTACTCGCTTGCTTATTAACTAAATTATGAGGCGAACGCTTACTCTTTAAATAATGTGGGTCTGCAGTGTACATACTTACATTAGTGACTTGACGAGATTTCATTATGTAGTAAATTAATAACATTTTCAGATAAAATGAAAACCATGAAAGGGTTGATCGACGTATGCTTGCCTGATCTAAGTAAACCTCACCTTTTATGTATATTTTATTCCTGATAATATTCTGATACGAAGGGCCCTCGTATCACATTCATTCAAATGACATATTGGAGAAACGTTTCAGTGTGTTTTGATCGAGAAAATAACTAGAAATTTCTTTCGAGAGTAAAACCAAATACATATCTTGGAGAGCCAATATAAGAAATTGATTTTGCACCAGTCTTATTCAAACTTACATGTACGTATTACTACTTCTTTTGACGTCGTATGAAGGATTTATAGGGCCGTATATTCATTTATCAATATTTGGGTAAAAGAGAGATATTTCTTTTCGTAATGAGCATTATTTTCATTCTATTTATGTTTAATTTAGTTTCATTGTCTGGATTACCGAACGTAATACAATTTTTTGTTTGAAAAAAAAAATATTTTTATAAATAATATATTTTTCACGAGGCATAAAACCATCTTCATTAGACAACATGATCAATGCAGTAGGACGTTAACAAATAGACATCGTACTGTGCGCGTTCGGGCAGCAAATACGGTAACATTAGACACACTGCATCTGTCAAAACACAAAAGGGTTGCATAGGATCTACATTGTATATGATATTCTAATATTTTTTCTACATAATGGTTTATATTTTATACAAATTAGAACTGCTTTTTAAAATCACAGATCACTAATGTATTATTGACGATGGTCCGCCCAAACACTTATTTTTACGTGTGTACTTATATTGTTTTGACATTATCAATTATATATCCATACAGCGATGTCTTGCATCCGCGTTGAAGTGCGGAGTTGCGGTAGGACAAGAAATTTGCGTTGGAAAAACTTACTCCCTTCCGCGCATAGTGATGAAATATTCGCATATTTTGTCGTTAAGTCGAAACACCCGTCAGTCAAATTTCGAATTAATTTTATAAACGATCAAATTTTCCAAGCTCCGTGAACGCAAACGATGGAAAACATATTAGATGTGAAAAACCTAATAGCAACTACGTGGCCAGGGGCCGGTGTCCGCGCAGATTTAATTAGAAGTGCGGTGGATTTCATAAAAGTTTATTCGAAGCAAAAAACACGTGCGACGATTCGCCGCAACAAATGCATATAAATCTACATAATTTGAGTACGATAATATATATGATAATATAGATGCAATTTTTTTCAGTCCGGGTTGCATGTAGTTCTATACTTATATAGATATTGCGGGGGAAACGTATAGAAAACTTCAGTGCGTACTAGCCCTGAGACGCTTGTAGGCGTGGAAGTTAAACAATAGACAATAGATAGGAATACCGGTTCACATGACATATTTAAAATAAATTGCATTATTATTTGTTTGTCATTTAATCTAGGGTTAGTTTTATACTGTCACAGTTTTAACTCCCGATATCTATGAAATATTTCTTCTGTTGAGAGGTCCCACATCACTCTTCATTTACTTGAAAAATTGTTATGGAAACGAAGACAGCCTTATTTTCTTACACAATCAGCCATTTTGGTACAAAATTTTCATCCACGTTGTTTCTTTGTTGTGAAAAATGTTATTTAATTTGGAGCAATTATTACACGCGCTCTGCGAAATTACTCCAAGGAATTGGACCTCGTGGCGATTATATTCCCGAGAAAACGGTCTTTTTTCGACAATGAAAGCTTTATGCCACGAAATAGGAATCCCGCTGTTACCATAATCTTTTTATTATATTATGCAAATTGTTAATACAGTAATAATATCTATTTAGACATCCAACATTTTAATATCCGTTAAGAGGCTATATTGTAAAGGTCTTAAGCTAATTTAATATTATATAGTTGAGAATCATAAACTAGAAATAATAATGTACACTTACATATCGTTAACAATATTAATTATATTGCATCGTATTAAAATATTAAGAATCAATTTGTATCCGCAACTCTACACAATCGCAGTTCCTCCTCGTGCTTAACAAATGACGTGGGCGTTCTTATTAAGTCTGACATGACGGATGCCCAGGCGTCTGTCGTGTCACCAGGTGCGGCGACTGTGATATTTACAATAGCAACTCAAAACCCCCTTAAAGCGAGAGTCGCGTATACTGTCGTCTTATTACACTTAGTGATTTATACTTGAACCGGTGCATTTAACTGCTGAGGCCTGTCATTTCCTCGCCTGAATTGAGATTGATCTTTATAACGAAGACCGGTTAGCGCTGCCTTCGGTATGATTTTACTTTTGTTTCGTGTTACCAATCAAAGTGCTTAGATATTTATGAAATATAATAGCCATTGCGTTGCTAAGAGCCGATATATCAGCAAAAACGATGTTGCGATTTTGTTTTCTATCTATTTTAAGCCAGTGCTTGACTACTGATTGAAGATGATGATGTAATAGAAGATAGAAAAACGTACTTACAAGGCTTAACAAAGTTTGCCTAATAATATTCCTATTTGCACTTTCTTCAAAGACACCCACGTTATAAAAAGATAGAAAGATTATTCTATCTTTTTACAACGTGTATGAATTATTCTATTTCTTATTTTTTCAAATGGCACATTTATACTGTTACAATCCTATTTAAGCTTTTAGTGTAGAGAACCGGAGACCATTTTACTGGAAACGAGGCATTCCGTCTTAGTCCTCACGGGTGACAACGCATCTGCATTTTGATTTGTAATCGAGGATAGATGTAGATGTCTATGGGCCGCAGCAACCACTTACCATCAGGTGGACTGTGTGCTCGTTTGTCACCATATCCTAAAAAAAGTGCTTATTTGAATATTTGTAATTATAAATTTAAATAGTATTGAGGCTATTATCAACTAAAATTATGTTACTAGTGGCGGCCTAAAACTATCACTCTATTTTTTTAAATGCGATTAAATACAAATTACTCCTTTATGAGGGGTGGAGCATAAATAAATTGCTTAACCAATGCACTACTGAGTCGACATCATAATATGATCTTTTAAGATTCGCTATAATCGACTGAAGGAAGTGTCCGAATATTCGATCGATAAAGTTGTACAAAAATAGTGTACGTTCCATAGGGGACTGTTAAGACTGGGTGATAATGACATATGTTTTATGTCAATATTTCAAAATTAATTATGCATTTTTTCTGTTTCTTTTGCAGAGGGGCTCCGACGAGCTTCTTTCGCAGAGTGGCGTCACCGTCATGGCGCCCGCCGCTCCACATCATGCTGATAACAACAACCAAGACTCCGCCGCCAAAAAGGTAAAACTGTTAATTTTTTTACTAACATGCCAAGTTCCGTAATTTTCAGTATACAAATATGTTGTGTATGATTGAGAGTACACATAACTAGCTAATCAAGAACATGTTATATTGTTTACGTGGTAGAGCCAGGCTGCAGCTATATTGTTGTAGCACGAATGAGTAGTCTCGACTAGGGTAGGACCACGTTCGCACAGAATACTAGCATAAAATAGCAGCGTATTACTGCTCTATTTCGTATGGTGAGTGTACAGAACCGGATACACTTTTTACTGGAAACGAGGCATTCCATCTTAGTCCTCAGTGGTGACAACGCCACTGTATTGTGATTCTCAATCAAGGACTAATTTAGATGTCTGTGGGTCACAGCATCCACTTAGCGGTGGTAAATTAAAAAATGGTGGTAAATAATTTGACTTCTCACAAGTATTATGTATTAATCTATATTGAATAAAAATCATTCATTTCATTACATTTACCTTCAGGTGGACTGTGTGCTCGTTTATCACCCTTATTATATAAAAATATTTTGTTGCGTATTTGAACTATGAAAAAGCCTTTGATTCCGTCGAAATTTGAGCTATGCTTCAGGCGCTTCAGTGGTGTCAAACAGTCGGTATATCGGAGTGCTGAATTGTTTATACAGTAGGTTTACTATTTCTTTCATAATATAGGCCCCGTGTACCAAACCTATCGAAATACAGAGAGGTATAAGATAGAGCCAAAAAAATGCGAATTTTTATTTTCATTGGAATTTATTATTCATTAGAATATATATTCATGCTACTTGACGGAATAGGACACGGTATGTGCATCAATGACAAAATCAATACTCATCTTAGATTTGCCGAGGATATTTAGCAAAATGCTCAATTCTCTTAACAGTGTCTCCTAACAGATAGGTCTTAAGATGACATGGACAAGATAAACGTTGAGTGTAATGTTCATGTCGCACTAATTGCTTGTAATTGTTAAAAACACTACGCTCAAAATTGTTGACCCCGGTATGTTTATTTAGGACAAATTGTCTTTTTTTTATATAAGAAGGGACAATCGAGCATGCGGCTAATCTGATGGTAAGTATCTACCGCCGCCCATGAACAACTGCAATACTAGGAGAATTGCAAATGCGTTGCCGCCCTTTTAAAAGAGAGTAGGCTCTTTTTTTAAAATTCCCTAAGTCATATCGGTGCGACAAATGCATATTCCACAAAAAAGACCAGATTAGCCCATCTTCGACCAAGCAATCGACAGATCCAACTCGGCTGGGCAGGATGATATAACGTAGTGGTCAACATACAGTGTTAGTTATAAAAACAGAAATTGACGCGCTCTTTCATTCTCATGTTTTCGCTATCTCTTCAAATCATCTCATTGTGGAAGTCTTTGTATTATAAATTTTATTACGTTAAGAAAAAGAAATCAATCAAGCAAATCGGTAAACCGAAATAATTATAAAAATAAAAGGGCCTTCGTAAAAAGCCATCGTGCCATAAAAGGACGTTCCCGGAGGCTTTGAGAGGAGTATATTTTTTTAATCTCCACCCGACCTGCGCTGGCAATGGATAGAATCCTTACGAACTCAATGAAAAGTGTATCAATAACATTCGACGAATGAACCGTGAGTTCATTTGCGACAGTTACCTTTTTATGTATTTTTTTCGCAAGTTATTTGTGAATTTGGTAATATTTTTATACTCGTTAGAGCCACGGTACACCTATATATTAGTTGTAGCACGAATGGGTCGGCTGATATATAAGCTTTTTATCACCTACATGAACACACGGGTTTATTCCTGTCCGTTTTCTGAAGTCCGTTTATTGAAGCTTACGTGTTATAATGCGTTGATGTGAAAACTTCATACTTTGACATCTAAGTAAGTACCTAGTAATTTGAAAATTATATTGCGTATCAATCTATAAAGATATAAACTCACTGATAGAAAATTAAATAATACCTATATCAAAAGTAGGCTCAAAAATGTATTTCTACACGTACTTGCCTTCTTTATACAGTGAAATATTTATTAGTATTTGAAAAAGATACGGACTTCAGACCCTGAACAGAGAATGTTAAAGCTTAATTTTTATTAATTAATTAATTTAAAATTTTATTAATTAACTTTTTTAATTTCAAATTTATTTATTAGTAAATTTTACCATTTATTGATTTTGTCTAGTACCTAAATCCCAAATTGCTAATTATCTCAATATAAGTAGATATGATCCACAAAATGATCGATGTATCCGAGCGTAATCCTTGATTATTAATTCAGAATGACGTCCTAGACTTTTTTGACGACCGAAAGACATCTTTAAATTATACGAGTTTAATCTTTCTATTGTTATGCAAGAAAACTTCAAAATTTGAGATATTCTTCAATAAGGAGACATGAAATAAATTGTAGAATTTAAGGCATGTATAACTTGACTGTTATGGTATTTTATATGTGTATGCTTAAGAGGCCATTTGAAAGGTCAGCAAATTCTCATAGCCTTCGCCATAGCATAGATAGGTAGATACCGCCAGTATACCAACTCTTATATACAAAACTAGCTGTGCCCCGCGCTGTAACCCGCGTATATTACGCGACTGAGCTGCGTAACATGATATGCCACCTCGCTCAATTAGTTCAATCATTTCAGTTAAAAAATTGTCAAAATGAATGGAATACTTTTATCTATAGACATATATACGTTATACAGCAAAGCTAAGTTTTATCAACACTTTTTTGCTCAAACTTTAGTTTTATTAAAATTTCTATAATAATAATCTAAAATTTCTATATACATATATACTATGTATACGAATGTTACCAACTTTTTTTCAACCGGCGATCTAATTAAATTTATGAACACAAAAGTTACTTATTGTTACTTAACTATGATAGTTAGATATAATAATAATAATTCTTTATTGACGTTTTTATAGTTTACATACTTTTTACAAATATACGAGTATATGACCATGAGGACCAATTTGAAATGGGTAGAATTCTGAGTCTCCTAGTAGGTTACTTAGTAAGTAGTAAGTAAGTAGGAGATACAATTCCCACGCGAACTTTTTTGTAGGTAATAATGAATACTTTAATCAGGTAGTATCTATATCATATTATGTATCATCAATAGTTTTCTCAGCCCACGTAAAATAATGAATTTTATAGGCAAAATTTTGCAATTTTCTTAAGGATCTCTTTTTTTAAATAAATTATGGTCTACGTTACTTGCTGATAATTTAGCTTTCTATTGGTAAAAAAAATTTGTTAAAACCGTTCCAGTAGTTTTGGAGCTTATTCGGTACGAACAAACATACAAGCAAAATAATCTTTCCTCCTTACAATATGATAATAATAAAATGTAATAAAAATAAATAAATATACAAGATGTAAGATACCTAGGCCAATGACGACAGGACGTAGCGTGTCTGAAATATTTTGAAAATTACCTGCGATTATTATTAACTTTTTAAAGAGAAAGATTATAAAAAAGAACAAATTGAAGATAAAAAATCCTAAAATAAAGCAATAGTATATTATACTACTAGCATGACATTATATATTTATATACTTATACACAATGGCATCGTAAGCAAAATAATCAAAAGAAATGAAATGAAAATACTTTACTTACAATCTTCACTTCAGAAATATAAAAATATCTAAATTTCAACAAAAAAAAACTGTTAAAATACTTGTAACATCCTTAAAATAATAAATTCAATATACATTTTTTTTCGATAAAATAGTTGCTCTTAGAACAAAAAATTTATGCTACCTTATAATCCCAAGTCCTAAAGGTGCTTAGCTCCCGAACTACCACGGCCACTGGTTCTTAAAAAAATTATAATAATTAATTATCGTAGATTATTTAACCCATATATCAATTTCGAACACATTGAGTTGTAATGAACTACATAATATAATATAAAACCGGACTGAAACCTGCGTGTCAAATACTTATTAATCTAACTTTAAGTGCGTGGAGCACATAAGCTAGTATCTTTATTTTTATCTTTTATTTTCTTTTTGCTGTCAAAGAAAATCAATGTTTCCATGTTAGTTTTGCCGACCATTTACTCTCACTTATTAGGGAGATCTGAAAAACCTCGCCGCAGTAATCTTAATTACACTGTGATCTTATTACAGCTCGGCTTTAACTCATAATTAAATAGAGACGTGTCCCTACGTCATTTATTTGTTTGCTATGGCTTTTTGCGATTTTGCGATTGCGCCGACACTTTTTAATGCAAAAATTTAGACTCCTTTTAGCGACACCCCTTCTTTGTTGCCCTGAATATTCATTTAGAATCCATCAACGGAATGACGACCCGTTTTTAACAGTTTTTTTTTATTTATTTCCATTATTTATAGGATATCTCTTGCTTTGGAAATATTAAAGTAAAAATTTTGTGTTTCTTTTACGCCAAGAAAAATTGTCAATACATAATAAAGAGTAAAAAGTGTCTTTGTTATTTTTTTTTTGTATACGTAGACTAAATGAAGTATTAATGAACGGTTAGCACTGAATATCATGAGGAACCGTAATATGCGAAAACACCCTAATAAACCCTCGTCCTCTCTGACCCGGTCATTAATGTCCAAATAAAGTAATTGATTGTGTTCTTTGCTTTTTCTCTTCATTTTCTGGGTTCAGTCCGTAAAAACGTTTGTCTGTATACCGTGTAGATCAATCAAATCAGTCAAGGTATCGTATAACGATTTCTTGACGACATCATTCGCTTAGCTCGATACCAGTTGCTATTTTTTGTTTGTCCTAAATTTTGTCAAGCGGTTGCTATGTGTGCTAAAACCTGATATCTACATTTTATTACATAATCTATTATCTGAATTAAGGACGTTGTGCTTTACAAAAATGGCGACTGACAGCTATCTAGTTTTTGTTTACACCTTACATTCAGGGGCTAGTGATGAGATCATCACTAGCCCCTGAATAGACCTAACTCGAACAAAATCAGCCTCTAATGGCGGCCACATACGTAG